TCAAAATTGAACGAGCCGAAAATGTATCTATCTCCAAAGTCCCTCTTCTAGCTTTTACAAACTCAAAGTTCGATAGAACCTAGTCTGTGGTCAAAATGGAAGACAAGAACTCTGGAGCATATATAGTAGGATTATATATGCTACAAGAAAAGTGGTAAATGCTACATCATCTCTTCTCACTGGTAGGCTCTTGACAATCTCTTGGGCAATCCAGCACACCCGATCGATCACGCACCAGTAGGGATCAGCTCAGCCATTGGGAGGTACTATCCATTTAAAATTAATTAATTTATAATAATTTTCTGTTATTAGATCTGTGCGCTGCTCTAGATCGTCCACAGCCCGTTCTAGAGGCTTGAATCGGTAAGTAGTGATTCCTGCCATCTTACCTGGAGACTAAAGATAGAGCTTTGATTTGTCGCAAGGAAGTGCGCACTAAACGGTGGTCATTTCACCGACTTTATTAACTGTTTCTTCATATCGCTCCTATTTAAAGGCGCTTTCAAAGAACACGTTGTAGCCAAAATTTGCAAAACAATCCCCGAGAGGAAACTTAGAGGAGCTAGCTGCAGTGCTTTTGACGTCCACTCCCATGGCCAGCATCAGCAACATGGCGAGAACCGAAAACAACACCAGGCAAGCCTTGTTCTCCATGAAACTAAGAGTTCAACGAACTCTAGTATATTCGAGAGAAGTGATTTGATCTGTGAGGCCGCTCGTATTTATAGCCAGAGTGGTGCCTCTTGGGAAGTTTGTCCTTTGAAAGTTATTCTAGGAAGTCGTTCGTATTTGTCAATTCCTTTTCTTTTCTATAATGCTGGGACATAGAACAACACACAAAATGTAGTTTTTTCACCATTGCTATAGATTTCACTGCCACTGAAAAGAACAAAAATCTAATAAATAGTTGGATCTTGACGATCTCTGGAAGAGAAGTGTGTGTCATTTCATTTTCGATTGTGTTTTATATACGTGGTTGATGTATGTAATTGCTAGACTTTGTCTTGGGAAAGAGATCAGATTCGTTGAAAAACTTGTCTCCACTACTGCTTCATATTCCATCTGGTTGCTTTTCCAAGTTCCACGTCGAGACTAAGATGGCAGACTGTCCAAACCTTTCATTGACAAAAATATATATGATTTTAGTTAATATTATAATATAATTTTGAGCCCAGATAGATTGACTTGGCTTTCTTTCTGGTTCAAGCTTTTTGACTGAGTATATCACGTCTCTATATATTAAAAGTCCATACATTGCGAACGTTACACTGCAACAACAACTCTCCAGAAAACGCACCATATTTATCATTGACAGTCTCAGACCCAGGGCATCAAAGACGAATAGACTCCAAAACATCTTCGTTCACTCTTATTCTACATATATCTCATCCAGGCTGTCAACCCAACTTTTCATGATTCGAGATTCGCTCCCGTGGTTCTCTGAGGCCCGAGGCTCGCAAACTTTGGCAATTCTTCAGCAGATGCAGCGGCTGCCATTCCAGCGCCACCCTCGATGGCAGCTGTTGTCATACCCGTACCAATTGCATTGCACGCAGCGAAATCCATTCCAGGACCAAGCGCTGCGCCATCGCCTTGGTGATGCCGCCGACCTCCACTCCCACCGCTAGGTGTGCCTGGGCCTGGTTTTGATGCTCCAATCGAGTCTTATTGCTTGCCGATCATTGGAGCAATCGATTGGAAGTCGTGGGATTTGGAGAAGAGAGGAGAAGGACCAAGAACAGATTCAGACATTTTATATCAAGGCTTGGACAATTTATATTTTATTGCTGGAACTCATGCAATACTATGCAACATCGCACGATACAGAAAACACGTTATCATTGTCTTTATTCTTGTTTCCAGACCCTTGGCACTGCAGAACGATAAAATCAAAGGCAATTACGATGCTGATTCTTAACTTGGGCTTACCCCATGAAACGAGAGGTTTCAGTTGCGCGAGCAGCGATTGTTGCGCCAGCTCCAACCCCTCTGGCAACGGTGGCAACCGTTGTCATACCAATACCACCCCGACTGGCAGCGCTGGGCAGCAGCCTTTGCGAGTCCTCCCACGTCCACGCCCATGGCCAGCATCATGACAAATATGGCGAGCGCCAAAAACAACACGAAGAAAGCCTTGTTCTCCATGATTTGCTGCTAGAGAAGTAAGCTTGTTAGAAGTGGTTTGATTTGGGCTCATATTTATAGCTCGAGCCAGCACACAATGCTAGATGGGACGGAGTCCTTATCTATTTTAGTTCCGTGTTTGAGAATTTCTTCTCTTTTTTATAATGCTGGGATCCACATAAAATCTCTCCATGAAGTTCCACAAAATCGCCATTCCACGTTACAAGTTCCGAAGAATCCCTGCATTGGCCACGTGTGTGCCATATCATCAGTTAAATATGGGACGGTTCAGATCATTTTAGATCGACGGCTTTGATTTAAATATTACAGTGGACGGCTCAGATTGTATATAAAGGAACGGTCCAGAATGTTTTAATTGCACGGTCTAGATTGTGACTAGCTTTCAAGAATATACTATTCTTCTATTTATACGAAAAGGATATCTCTACCATTCGTTTACCGTACACATCAGAAGTACTTTCAGACACTTTAATGCCCTAAAAAAGGAGAAGCAAGCAAGCGAGCTTGAGCTGAAATACTGCGACTTTCTGTGGTAAGCTTGATCTCTGACTATGGCTCGCACGCCACCGCCCCCGCCGCATCACCGGGAGCACGCGAGGAGGATGCCGCCGCCCAAACCATCGCCAAAGAGGGCGCTCCGCCCCCAAAGAGGTCTCCACCGGTGCCAGCCAAGAGGCACAGTCATTAACCACCAAAGCCCACAGATGGACATCACTCACCAGCAAAGCCACCACCGAGTTCTCCTGAGCATCATGGAGCTGGACATCCACCGCCGAGCTCTCCCGAGCATCATGGAGCTGGACATCCACCACCGAGCTCTCCGCCCACAAAGGAACATCCAGCAGCAGAGCCAAAGAGGCACCCTGGACATCGACGAGCTGGTGATGGAGCTGCTACAGGGCCGCCACCTTCTTCTTCGCCGCCCAACAAGGCCGACACTGTAACCTGGCGACCAAGGAGGGCCGGGGTGTCATCGCCACCACCTTCGAGCATAACGTGGAACCCAAGGCCATCGCCACCACCTTCGACCATAACGTGGAACCCAAGGCCGCCATCGCCACCACCATCGACCATAACGTGGCAACCAAGGCCCCTTGGCTTCGACACCTCCTCTCCGCCTACGGCGTCGTCAGCACCATCTTCAGCAGCAGCAGCAGCAACAGCAGCATTCGTGGCATCACCTGGTGTGCTCGCGGCAGGCATCGTTATGCTCCTGCTCGCACTGGTAGCCATCGTCACTGGAGTCTGGATACTCTTGAAGAGGAGAAGAAACAAGGTGCACGGCGACATCCACCACGACGACATCCTGGTGGAGTATGGCCATCAACCTAGCGGTGGCAACAGCGGCAGCAGCAGCGACCAGCGGGAGCACCTCATTACCAAAGTGGAGCCTCGACCATCATCGCAGTTGAATGCTGGCAGGAAGAAGGCGGCTGCTGACCCCCGAATTCGCGAGCTCCTGAGGCCACCAAGGCGGCTGCCACCGTCTGCTCTTCCCGCTGGTGCTCGCCACAAGTCTGCATCCGGGAACGATCCACTCTTTCGTGATGCTGATCCAGTACATGGCCAGCAGGGAAGCCGGGAAACCGTCACGATGGAGGATCCTCTCGTCGTCTTTCCTGCGCATGAAGTTGACGAGCAGCCAAGGCTTTTCTCAGCCACTCCGGAGGATGATCCACTCTTCTCGACTGGTGGCTACTCTCATCATCCAGCAGGCGAGAAAATGGCTCCAAACGAGCTCCCAGTGCGCCTATCATCTGGACACGACGGGGTTCCAGAGCAGTTTCATGGACGGGAACAAGGACGAAAGGTGGCGGATCGTTCTGGCACCGTGTTCGATCCTGGAGATGTCGCAGCACTGGCAAAGGAGCGGGCTGAGATGGAGAAACAAATGCAGAAGTTCATCATGATGGAGCCCCGCATCCGGCCTTTTTCCCACAGGTTAGTAGAATGAAGAGCGAAAGCTCGTCATTTATCTGGCTTTCTCTTCAGTCCCTTCTATGGGCTTGAGTAAGTCACAGGAAGGTCCTGTTGCCTTCCTCACTTTTCATCGGGGTACAAAAGTTTAGGAGGAGCCATCAATCATCGGTATACAATAGCCAGGATGATCACAAATTTATTTTGTTAATTTTTATTCTGTTTTTTATGAAATCTAAACTATTGATGCCGCACTATTTAGTGTTAACGATCATGTCAAAATTGAACAAGCCGAAAATGTATCTATATCTCTGAAGTCCCTGTTCTAGCTTAAACTCAAAGCTCGATAGAACCAAGTCAGTGGTCGAAATAGAAGACAAGAACTCTGGAGCGTATATATTAGGAGTGTATACGCTGCAAGAAAAGTGGTAAATGCTACGTCGTCTCTTCTCACTGGGAGGCTGTTGACAATCTCTTGGGCAATCCAGCACCCAAACAGATTGATCACGCAGAGTGATCAGTGACGGGACCAGAAAGTGGTCTATGCTTCAGCCATCCAGCAGGGAGGTATTATCCGTTTAAAATTTATTAATTAATAATTATTTTCTGATATTAAATCTTGTTAAAGTTATAAATATTTGCAGACTATGTTACATTTATAGATGCAACCGAAATTGCTCACAGCGAAGGGTAGAATTGGGTCTATGAATAAGATTCGCGAAAAGAATAGTATATTCTTGAGCTTAACGACGAGCTTCCACTCATCGCCTGTAAGCTCAGTCTATAGATGAGGATTAAGATGCAGCGAGTTCCACCATGCACACGGACTCTGTAGTTGGCTTTCAACACATCGATCGATGTCCGCATGATATGGCCCTTCCAAACATCCTCACCCATGAACTGAGACAGTTCGTCCACAGAAGAACTCCCGAGAGAGCTTAAACCTTACCTTCATTGCTACCTTGTCTCGTTGTCAGCCATTCTCTCGCCTGCTGGGTGATGAGAGTAGCCACCAGTCGAGAAGAGTGGATCATCCTCCGGAGTGGCTGAGGACAGCCTTGGCTGCTCGTCAACTTCATACGCAGGAAAGACGACGAGAGGATCCTCCATGACGTTTCCCCGGCTTCCCTGCTGGCCATGCACTGGATCAGCAGCACGAAAGAGTGGATCGTTTCCGGATGCAGACTTGTGGCGAGCACCAGCGGGCCTCCAGTAGCCGCCTTCTTCCTGCCGGCATTCAACTGCGATGATGGTCGAGGCTCCACTTTGGTAATGAGGTGCTCCTGGCTGCTGCTGCTGCCGCTGTTGCCACCGCCAGGCTGATGGCCACCAGGATGATGTCGCCGTGCACCTTGTTCCTTCTCCGCTTCAAGTGTATCCAGACTCCAGTGACGATGGCTACCAGTGCGAGCAGGAGCATAACGATGCCTCCCGAGCACACCAGGTGATGCCACGAATGCAGCTGCTGCTGAAGATGGTGCTGACGGCGCAGTAGGGGGAGCGGTGCCCAAGCCAAGGGGCCTTGGTTGCCACGTTATGCTCGAAGGTGGTGGCGATGGCGGCCCGGCCCTCCTTGGTCGCCAGGTTACAGTGCCGGCCTTGTTGGGCGGCGAAGAAGAAGGTGGCGGCCCTGTAGCAGCTCCATCACCATGGTGCCTCTTTGGCTCTGCTGCTGGATGTTCCTTGGTGGGCGGAGAGCTCGGTGGTGGATGTCCAGCTCCATGATGCTCAGGAGACCTCGGTGGTGCTCCATGATACTCGGGAGAGCTCAGCAGTGGATGTCCAGCTCCATGATGCTCAGGAGAACTCAGTGGTGGCTTTGCTGGTGAGTGTGGGCTTTGTTGGTGAATGACTGTGCCTCTTGGCTGGCGCCGGTGGAGACCTCTTTGGTGGCGGAGATGAAGTTGTCGGCACCCTCTTTGGCGATGGTTTGGGCGGCGGCGTCCTCCTCACGTGCTCCCGGTGAGGCGGCGGGGGTGGTGGCGTGGAGAGTTTGTGCGCCATAGTCAGAGATCAAGCTTACCAGAAAAAGTCGCAGTATTTCAGCTCAAGCTCGCTTGCTTACCGCGCTCTTGCTTACTTTCCGTTTTTTAGGGCATTAACGTGTACATGGTACAGATATCCTTTTCGTACAAATAGAAGAATACAAGATCATCTCATTCATGTACAATCTAGACCGTTTATTTGTATACAATCTGAGCCGCCCATTGTGTAAAACGTATTAATTAAATCAAAGCCGTCGATCTAACATGATCTGAAATGTCCGTACCATATTTAACTGATGATATGGTACACGTGTTGCTATCAAACACTACTTGCTTTCATCTTTTCGAGCTAAACTCTATGGCTTTCTCTATCTGCAAGCTTGTAGTATGAATTTGTAAAGTTTTAGCAACATGCGATTTTGTGGAACTTAATGATCCTCAATTGAAGGGTTGGAGAGCATTATAAAAAAGAAAAGAAATTCTCAAACACGGAACCAAAATAGATAAGGACTAAGAAATGAGCATTATAAAAAAGAGAAGAAATTTTCAAACACGGAACCAAAATAGATAAGGACTCCCACAACAACTCTCTAGCATTGTGTGCTGGCTCGAGCTATAAATATGAGCCCAAATCAAACCACTTCTCTCTAATATAACAAGCTTACTTCTCTAGCAGCAAATCATGGAGAACAAGGCTTTCTTCGTGTTGTTTTTGGCGCTTGCCATATTTGTGATGATGCTGGCCATGGGCGTGGACGTGGGAGGAATTGCAAAGGCTGCTGCCCAGCGCTGCCAGTCGGGGTGGTATTGGTATGACAACAGTTGCCACCGTTGCCAGAGGGGTTGGAGCTGGCGCAACAATCGCTGCTCGCGCAACTGAAACCTCTCGTTTCACGGGGTAAGCCCAAGTTAAGAATCAGCATCGTAATTGCCTTTGATTTTATCGTTCTGCAGTGCCAAGGGTCTGGAAACAAGAATAAAGACACTGATGACGTGTTTTCTGTATCGTGCAATGTTGCATAGTATTGCATGAGTTCCAGGAATAAAATATAAATTGTCCAAGCCTTAATATAAAATGTCTGAATCTGTCCTTGGTCCTTCTCCTCTCTTCTCCAAATCCCTCGACTTCCAATCAATTGCTCCAATGATCGGCAAGCAATAACACTCGATTGGAGCATCAAACCAGGCCCAGGCACACCTAGCGGTGGGAGTGGAGGTCAGGGGCATCACCAAGGGGATGGCGCAGCGCTTGGTACTGGAATGGATTTCGCTGCGTGCAATGCGATTGGTACGGGTATGACAACAGCTGCCATCGAGGGTGGCGCTGGAATGGCGGCCGCTGCATCCGCTGAAGAATTGCCAAAGCTCGGGCCTCGAAGAACCACGGGAGCGAATCTCGAATCATGAAAAGTGATATATATATATAGAATAAGAGTGAACGAAGATGTTTTGGAGTCTATTCACGTGTTTGGTGCCCTGAGACTGTCAATGATAAATATGATGCATTTTCTGGAGAGTTTTTGTTGCAGTGTAACGTTCGGAATGTATGGACTTTTAATATATAAGAACGTCATATATTCAGTCAAGAAACTTGAAAAGAAAGCCAAGTCAATCTATCTGGGCTCAAATTATTTTATATAATATTAACTAAAATCATATATATTTTTGTCAATGAAAGTTGTGGACACTCTGCCATCTTAGTCTCGACGTGGAACTTGGAAAAGCAACCAGATGGAAATATGACGCAGTAGTGGAGACAAGTTTTTCAACGAATCTGATCTCTTTCCCAAGACAAAGTCTAGCAATTATATACACCCATGTATATAAAGCACAATCGAAAATGACACTTCTCTTCTAAAGATATTTATTTGGATTTTTGTTATTTTCAGTGGTAGTGAAATCTATAGCAATGGCGTGTGTTCATATATTATATAAACTGTGAAAAAACTCAAATGTTGTCTTTACTCATCTGGATTCACAGCTTCATTTCGTGTGTTGTTCTATGTCCCAGGAAACGACTTCCTCGACTAACTTTCAAAAGAGGCGCCACTCTAGCATTGTATGCTGCCTCGAGCTATAAATACGAGCGGCCTCACAGATCAAATCACTTCCCTCGAATATACTAGAGTTCGTTGAACTCTTAGTTTCATGGAGAACAAGGCTTGCCTGGTGTTGTTTTCGGTTCTCGCCATGTTGGTGATGCTGGCCATGGGAGTGGGCGTGGGAGGAATCGCAAAGGCTGCTGCCCAAGGCTGCCAGTCCGATAGTTGCCACCGATGCCCTCGAGGACGGCGCTGGTATGCTCTGTGATCGTAAGGGATTGTTTTGCAAATTTTGGCGACAACGTGTTCTTTGAAAGCGCAAATAGGAGCGATACGAAGTTAACGGATTATGGATAAAGTCGGTGAAATGACCACCGTTTAGTGCGCCAACCTCATGCACAAATTGTCCCATGTCTTTGGAAACAATTATTTGCCATTGACAAATCAAAGTTCTATCTTGTCAGTCTCCAGGAAAACGCCGGTAAGATGACAGGAATCCCACGCAGACGTACCGATTCAAGCCTCTAGAACAGATCTAGAGCAGCTGGCGTCGTCGCTCCGCGACGGCTACGCGCAATTCCTCACAGCTTGCATAACTCTATGGAAGGTGCGAGCGCTCGGATCGAGAATGGCAGGTGTTTATCAGCATCCACAAGCCCAACAGATTCTCGTGGAACTTGATGCTTGGCGCTTATGGGTATCTTGAGAAAGCAAAAGTGCTGTTTGATCAGATGCCACAAAGGGATATTGTTTCTTGGATGATTTTTATTACGGCTCGTGCAAACCATAGAAACGTGGAGGAATGCCAAGCATTGTTGATCAGGTTCCAGAATGGGACGGAAATTTCAGAAACACTCTGAAACACATATGCCCATAACGGGCATATGGATCAAGCGAGCCAGATCTTTGATGGAATGCTAGAACACAACATAGTTTCTTGGGCTGTTATGGTTTCTGGGTATGCAAGAACATTTCTTGTTAAATAAGTGCTAATTTTGTTTATGACGATCCCCGAAACCAACGAGCTGGGTTGAACTGTTCTTGTCACTGCATATGCCCATCTTGGGCATATTGAAAAAGCCAAGAAGATTTTCAGAAAAATGCCACACCGCGACTTAATCTCGTGGAACGCAATGCTAGCGGCAACGTCCAGCCTGCAAGAAGCTGTTTGATGCCATGCCACAGAAGAACGTTGCATCGTGGTCGACAATGATCACAGCAGAAGAAGAAGAAGAAGCTCGAAGAAGCTCGCATTCTCTTCGAACGACCTCCCTATCACGACGACGTGGTGTGGACTGACATGATCTTGGCCTACTCCAACCACGGCCACCTCGAAGAAGGCATGAAGATGTCCACAGTGCGATTTCGTCGCTTAGACGGCAATGGTGGCGGCAATTGCTTTGCACGGGGGCTTGATCGATGCCAGAGTCTTGTTCGACCAAATGCCACAGCACGATAGCATCGCGTGAAACACGCTTAGATCCAGAGAAATTGCCCTCGTCCAAGCGCGGGAGCTGAGAGCAACAGCGAGCTGGATTGCCGCGAGCGCTCAAAGGGGGAATCTCTTGCAGGCCGGGAAGATCTTCTCCACGTTGCCTGATCCGAGCATTGTGGCGTGGAACGCGATGATCCATGGCTGCGCACAGAATGGCCATGAGCGAAAAGCAGCTGAGTTTTTTGGCAGCATGGAGCTTCCCACCGTGATTGCAAGTCAGGAGAATCGCCTGGAAACTTATCTCGTTTCTGGTTTCGCCCTCCATCGCCGTGTGGCAGTCGACTACTTTCGATCTATGGTGGCCTAGTACACAGCATTCCGAAGGTCTGCTGCTGGTGATGCCCTTCCAGCCGCATGTCCTCGCGTGGAAGAGCTTGATCAGCGGTTGCAAGCGGCAAGAACATCGATGCTGCAGCTCGTGCCGCAGAGAAACTCTTGGAGATGGAACCAGGGGACTCGGCGCTCTACGTGCTCATGTCGAATCTGCAAAAGCAGGATTCCAGAGAAAGCTTGCCTTCCAACGTTCATGCGTGGCCTTGCAACAGCTCGGTTTTTCAAGATCTGGGACAGCACACTGCACCCAAGGAAGAAGAGGAAAAGTAAGAAACATAAACACTGCTCCGGATTTAGGAGACGAGCCCGGACACGTCCACCTTGGCGTCCATTGTCTTGATGAACAGCAAATTCGTTCATTAGCTTGTGCACGAGCGTAACTTTAACAAGATTTCATTAGTAACAGAAAAGTATTTATAAAATAGTTTTAAACTTATAATACCTTGATAATCACTTTCATTCGCGAGGGTCCTGTCGCTGATGCGTGATCGACGTGCTGGATTGCCCAAGAGATTGTCAAGAGCCTGCCAGTCAGAAGAGACGATGTAGCATTTACCTACTTTTCTTGCAGCGTGCAATCGTACCAAGTCTATGGTCGAAATGGAAGATAAGAACTCTGGAGCGTGTATTAGGAGTATATTAGCATCGAAGTTGTATGGAACTTTGAGTTTGTAAAAGCTAAAAGAGGGACGTTGGAGATATATGTTCAATTTTGACATGATGAGTTAACACTTGATAGTGCAAGATTGCCGAAAAGAATGAGCGTGTAGGTCTTGATCTGCGAATATCCCGATGCAAAAAGCTCCGGAGCCTCCAATTACCGCAATCTTCATCAAAGATTGAAGAGATCTGCACAAGTTACAACGGACAAGGATAGCTCAAGGATAGCTAAAATATATTTCACCTGGATTCAGTGAGGTGGCACTATTGCCACCTAGGATCATGTCATAGAGAGCGTATATCCCATCCTTGAACGCAGCCACGAATGTCAAGAACAAACCGGTTGTGATGGTGGAATCATCGTTGATGTACATCCCTTTGGCTCTTCCCACAATCTGGGAGGCACGTGAGGGAGAACATCGCCAATAACAAACACCGCTCCAAAATGGCCATTCTGGGCGCCTGCGACCAAAACGACCATGGAATTTG